GTAATCTGAAAGTTTAACCCTTTATTTCCCTGGCTCATTGGGGAAGTGAGGTTAGGGCGTAGGGCTTTGGGTTTAGGGCCTCGGGGTTTTAGAGTTTAGGGTTTCGGGCTGAGGTTTAGGGGCTTCGGTTTTAGGGTTTAGGGCTTTGGGTTTAGGGCTTAGGGATTAAGGCATTCTGCTCCCAAGAAGCCATCTTACGTAAGGAGTTTTCAAAAATCACAGCAAGAAGCTCTAGAATCTAGAATCTAAGGGTGCTTTAAGGTATCACAAGACTTGGTAAGTAGAGTTACAAATAAGATCACCGTAACGACACATATGATTGCTTACGGTGTCCCATGAACCTTCAAGGTGTCTTTACTTAAAGACAAGGAGTCCGTGCGGCCGCACTTCCTTTCCTTCCTTTGATTTTGGAGTTCAATTTTTACTGTAGTTTAGACGGCCTGATACTTTAGCAGACCCGAAAGTCGTAATTTAAGTTCGTGTGTTTTCATAAAGGCCCCTATGCCACGCTTCGCGCTGCAGCTTCGGTGATTTCCGCGCCGTTCGGATTCAGGGTTAGGGGGCTAGGGGTTGAGTTTCGGGGCCTAGGTGTAGGGTTTATAGGCTTTAGGGCTTTCGGGCACTTGGAGGTTCGGATGGAATGGATGTTACGGTTTAGGGCCTAGATAAAGGAATGAGCGTTGACGCAACTTTTTCGGATTCGTGTCCTGGGGCATGTTTTAGGAAGTCGGGATTCGGGCTGGTTTAGGGTGAAGGGGACCCTATGATAGTACCCTTAAAAGGGCAGATGATAGAACAGTCCTAAACCAGAGGAGCCCCTTAAAGAATCGTAAACCCGATCTTTCCGGAGGCAAGAAGCGGAGGAGAATGGGGAGGTCGCCATCGACGGTGTATTTAGTGATGACGAGGTGCAACGCAGGATTCTCTCAAGGGTTTAGGGCTATAGGGTTGAGTGTCAGTGGTCTCCAAATTCTGTGAGGGTTGCAGCATCCAGCTTACGGGATGACGCAGAAGACTTTGCGCCGCAGTGGCTTGATAAGTAAGATGGGTTTCCATGAGGGCGTTCTTCACATGCTTCTAAGGTTAGGAATATGGGCCCCTAGGCCTTGTTAGGGACCCTTAAGGGTACATATAGGGTATATAGTAGGTGTATAAGGATCCCATACTAAAGTCGACGAAGCCATCATTTGCATCTTGATGCTCGGGGTGCATGTGCCTAGCCACAGCTACAGCTGCCGCTGCTGCTCCCCTCCCGCTCCTCCTCCTACTACTCCTACTCCTACTCGTACTCCTACTCCTACTACTACTACTACTACTACTACTACTACTACTATAACGACGACGACGACTACTACTACTACTACTGCTACTACTACTAGGGCACTATTACTACTACTACTACTACTACTACTACTACTACTACCACCACCGCTCCTGCTGCTGCTGCTACTGCTACGGAAGCTCCTGCTTTCAACCGTGCTTGTTTGCACCAACTGCCGAGAGCGCCAACCCTGAACCCGAAGCCCCTGAAGCCCTAAGCCCTAAAGCCTCAGACGCTTCAACGCCTGAACCCTCCTAAACCCTAAACCCTAAACCCTAAGCCCTAAACTGACCGCAGCGCTGATCACTTGCACGGGTGCTCGAGGCTTTGACCGAACCCCCCGTTAAGCCCCGGCCGAGTTTCTGTACATACAGAACGGTGAGGGAGGGTTTAGGGTTTAGGGTAAAGAAAGGCCTGCCATAACCACGGCACGTTTTGCAGAACCGGCATAACCACGACAGAATCTATACCGCCCGCGCATTATATACAAACCCTAAACACTAAACCTTCAGCCCGAATTCCTTAAAACCCTAACCTAAGGCATTGCTTTGTGATGGTCTGGCCCAGTTTCGCTTCTGGGAACTGAGGTTGTCTTGGGCAGGGAATTCAGCAACTAAGGAAAGCCCCGAGCCTGGAAAGGGGGTTTGGGGGTTTAGGGGTTTAGGGGTTCAGGGGTTTAGGGGTTTAGGGGTTTAGGCGTTTAGGCGTTTAGGCGTTTAGGCGTTTAGGGGTTTAGGGGTTTAGGGGTTGAATGTTGAAAAGCCGGATTTCACTTTGTAATTTTACCTGGATATAGAGCGCCAAGGCTTTCAACGAGAGGAAACTCCTGCAAGCGCATACCATGATGCACCCCGAAGCCTAGTAAAAATATGAAGGCCTTGATTTTACGCACCTCAAGCTAGGAACCCAGCACACTTCAACATTCTGAACCGGCAGCCCAGCGGTCAGAACTCTTGAACGGTTAAAACCCTAAACCTTCAACCCGAAACTCCTAAACCCTACTTAAAGGATCATAGATAGGACTTAGTAACTAGGGTTTTTAATAGGGTAGCTATGCTTATAATTACTTATAATCCTGATAAGGGTACGTATAACCTTACTCACCAAGTCTCATGATCCTCCAAGTACCTAAACCCATGAACCCCAAGCCCAACAACTCTTCTAGAGCCTTTACGACACCTGAACCCTAAACTCCTAAAGGCCAGAACCCCTAAACTTCCAAACCCTTGATGAACCCTAAACCCTAAACCCTTGATGAACCCTAAACCCTAAACCCTTGATGAACCCTAAACCCTAAACCCGTCATAAAAGTCCAGAGAAGCCCTGAACACTAAACCCTAAACCCTGAACTCTAAACCCTTTACAGAACCCTGTATCCCAAAACCCTAAACCCTTTATAAAAGCCCTTATGAACCCCTTATCCGGAAGGGCAGCGCTGGGAAGACGGTAGACCTCGTGACTCGGACTTCGGGAGTGTTGCTTTTATGGGTCCCTTTACGGCAGGTTTTGGTGTTTAGGGTTGAGGGTCCGTTTGAGGGTCCCTTCAAGGGACTAGGGTCCAGATTTTGGTGTTTAGGGTTTAGGGTCCCTTTAAGGGACTAGGTCCGTGTTTTGGTGTTTAGGTTTCGGAGCTCCTGTAAGAGAACTTGGGGGGTCTAGTCAGTCGTGTTTCATGCGGTTTCAAGGGGCTGCTGAATTTTCTTCAATGGGTCCATGTGAAAGTTCCTTCTTTATAACAAACAAAGAAGAGCATACTACTGATCCATGAGGATGCTCCTGCCCGTAGAAAGCCAAGCCAAGAAAGTACCAACGTGGCCCCATATGAGCCATGTTCGTTCCATGGAAGCAAAGCAGCAGATTTCACACTATTACCCTACTTGGAGGCTCCTTTGACTTAGTAAGTCTACTTAGTATCCCCTAGAAACCCTCTTATAATCCCCATAACCCACCTTACTAACCCTACTTACTAAGTCAAAAGGGCCTCCAAGTAAACCCTAAACCCCAGAATCAGACGAAATGTTTCTTGAGAAGTCTTCGAGTCGCACTGATTTGGCGCTGGGTAACTGAAGCAAAGACGACACTGCAAGACCTCCGCAGCGGGGTAGCTTGCTTAAAGGATCATGGGACTTAGTAAGTAGGCCTTAGGGTTATAATTTAAGGTAACTGTACTTATATTTGCTTATAACCCCAATTAAGGGACTTATAACCTTACTTACTAGGTCCCATGATCCTCCAAGTGCTGCTCACATTCAGGACATGCCTGTCGCACTATGGAGAAGCTCAGGCAAGCTGCAGGTGCCGTGCGCGAGCCGGTGGAGCAGGAAGCCGCGAAGGCATAGGTCAAGTCCATTCCAGGCAAGAAGGGGGTCCTTTTCAAAGCGAAGTTCGAACACGGAAAGTATGAGAGGACCGGAACCCGGATTGTGCGCGGCCCTCCGGAATTACGAGTGCCCGAATTTGCAACTGGACTTTGACATGGATACTTCGAGAGAATTGCTTCACCACTGCAGGCTGGAAGTGGCTCATAAACTTTAAACTGAACCCTCAACCCGCTTACCTGGACTATCCTTGTACCCTCAAACGGGGGCAAATGGTCCCAAATAGTGGGCATTTAGGGTCTAATAGAGGGTTTAGGGTTTAGGGTTTAGGGTTTGTCCGAATAATTTCTAGGGTCATGATGATGATAAATAATGACGAAGTCCCGTGATCTTTTCAATCCTAGACCTCCTATAGATCCCTTATAGAACTCTTTAAGGAGCTAGACCGAAAACCCCAAGCCCTAAAACCCGAACCCTCTAAAAACTCAGCACCGAAACCCTGCGCCCTAGGCCCCAAACTCCAAGCCAAGCCTCAAGACCTTCCCTTTTGGGCAGTTCTCTAAATTAGGGCCTCCTTTGGTGTCCTTTTTTTAAGGGTGCCGTACTATTTTGGGGGACCTAAAAGGGGCGACCCTAATTTAGAGAACTACCCATATCCCTGAATTAAGGAATAGACTTTGAACTATAGTAGGACCCCTAACATGACATAATGTAGATTCCGTGATTCACGGATATTGGAAGGTTCGGGCCCCCGAAACCCTAGGTAGAAGTTTAGAAGTATGGGCCGCCAATATGAACCCGTAGGTCTTTCTAGGGACCCTTTTGGGTACATAGTGGGGGTATTTAGTAGGTGTATAAGGATCCCAGTGTTAAAGGCCCATACTAGGGCCCCCCATGGGTTCAACCTTGGACCAGGGGTGAAAACTGCAAGGCCCCAGACTCTAAGCTCCTCAGTCCAAAGCAACGAAACCCTAGGCAAACCTTAGAGTTTAGGGTTCAGGGTTTAGGGTTTAAAAGAGCGGCCTGAATAACTACCCATACTATTTTTTGTCGGAGGGGTTCCTTATGATAAAAACAGTAGTACCATATCCCAAAACCTTATTCTAATTATTAAGGCCCCTACATCAAGCCCTAAACCCTAAACCCTAAAGTTGTTGAGGGTTCAAACCCTAAACCCTAAACCCTGAACCCCTAAACCCTAAACCCTAAACCCTAAACCCTAAACCCTAAACCCTAAACCCTAAACCCTAAAAGGGCCTAAACCCCGAAGACCGAGGAGTCTTTAGACCTGGGCCTGTTCACCGAGTCACCGGGCCCGGCGCAGCTCTTCCATCAGTGTATCCCCGCTCCTTTCCGGCCTTTTAGAGTTTTGGGTTTTCGGTTTAGGGTTTAGGGTTTAGGGTTTAGGGTTTAGGGTTCAGGGTTTAGGGTTTAGACCCAGAAGCCTATTCGCTGGGACCCAGAAGCACATACAGCGAAGCCCAGAAAGTTGGAAAACCCGAAACCCTAAAACCCTACCTAGACCCTGAAGAACCTACCTTTTTAATTTTTAAGGACCTAAAAAAGGAAATCATAATAAGGAGCCCTAAAGGTAGGTTTTGTGGGGTCCAGGTAAACCTGGAACCTGGGTTTTGGGATCCCTCATACTTTACCTGAAGGCCACGAGGATGATCTTAGTTCCCAATACCCAACCTTTAAACTTTTTGGGCGCTACGGGTTTAGGGTTTAGGGTTGAGGGTTTAGGGTTATTTAGTAGGAATCTGAAAGTTTAACCTTTGATTTCCCTGGCTTATTGGCGAAGTAAGTGATAATGCTTGGGGACCCCTTATCTTACCCTACCAGCCAGAACCTACTGTTTTGTAGGATCCCTATAAACTCTGCATTAATTAAGGTTAGGTTTAGGGTTTAGGGTGCAGGGTATAGGGTTCAGGGTATAGGGTTTAGGGTGTATAATGCATGTTGCAGGGATATCCCTACCTTATTGGGCTTCATCATAAGGGGGTTTCTATGGGATATCCTTATCCTAGTAACTAGTGTGTGCTTATCATTATTTTGTTCGTTTTTTTTTTGGGGGGGGGGCGGTGGGAGGGCGTGAGGGGGAATAGGGTTGAGGGATGTTTGGGGTTTACGGTTAGCTTCTTTTTTTGAGGGGAGGGTTGGGTTTAGTTGCTTTGTTCTGTTTGATTGTGGTTCGACCGGGGTTGAACTCTGACAGCCGGTTTACCTGAACAACAGAGGCCGTCCCTAAACCCTAAACCCTAAACCCTAAACCGTGTCTCAGCTTCGCCCCAACGTGGGGATTCCGGGCTCATTTAGGGGATGAATGATGCTTCCATGTAAGCGTCTAGTAAGTCTACTATTGAGGGTTCTATGTGCAGGAACGCAAGGGTCCCTGTTGTTCCTAAACTCAGCCATCCCCCTTTGGAGAAGGACTGTGTTAGAGATCGCTTGAAGCAATAAGACATAAGGGTCCTTTTTGTTGATCGCAAACCCTGGAACTCTTAACCGGAAGCTCTGCTTTGATCCGCAATATATCTCGAAGAACGTCCGAAATTCCGGGGGTTCGGAAGTCTTGGGCTTATAGGATACCATGAACTTCGAACACCCTAGGCCCTAAACCCGAGCACCCTGAATTCCTCAAAGACCCACAACCCTCAACCCGAACACCCCACAGGGGTTTAGGGTTTAGGGGTTTAGGGTTTAGGGCTTAGGCCCCACAATACCCTAAACCTTAAACCCTAAACCTCAAGACCCTGTAAAGACCTGAACCCGACGTGAAAGCATTCGGCCTTTTGGAAACCTCGGAGGGCCCCAGAAAGGACCCCCCAAAAACGGAGTTCATGAACAAAGCTAAGCATCCTTTTCAGGTGATTTGGGTCACGCTGATCAACATGCTGGCCGGTTGCAGCCAAGGGGTAGGTATGTAGGTGTTTAGATGAGGACGGCTTCGATTTAGTTTAGGAGCGTTTAGAGTGTTGTACGGTCTTTGAGAAGGGCGTCTCTCGTCTTATCATGAGTTAACAGTTTAGAGGGCATTGAGACAAGGGGGACGGGGGGAGGGCGGGGGAGGGCGCGGGGGAGCATCAGTTTCAGCAAGGTTCGATTTTGGGGAGTCTTAGGATTTGGAGTTTGCATTTCGGTTTGGGGATTTACGGCTTTGGGCTTGCTCCTCTTTCAAAACCCTGAAACCCTAAACCCGAAACCCTGAAACCCTAAACCCTAAATCGCGAAACCCTGAAACCCTAAACCGCGAAACCCTGAAACCCTAAATCCTAAACCCTAAACCCTGAACCCTGAAACCCCAAAACCCGACACCCCGAAAGCCTAAAACCCTATCCCGGAAGCCCTAAACTTTTAAACGTTTAAACCCTGAAACCCCAGACCCGAAACCCTGAAACCCTAAGCTCTAAACCTTTAAGCCCTGAAACCCTAAACTCGACGCCCGAAGCCTTGAAACCCAAAGTCCTACACCCTAAACCCTGAAACCCTAAACCTCTAAACCCTAACCCATAAACCCTGAAACCCCGAAACCTCGTAGAAACCCGAGGTGGCCAGGGCTTCTCTCGCAGTATCTGCAGATGATCTGGTGCAAGCCCGTTTCGGGAGAGGCGGCTTTAGGGTGTAGAGGTTTAGGGTTTAGGGTTTAGGGTTTCGGGTTTCGGGTTTCGGGTTTAGGGTTTAAGGTTTAGGGTTTAGGGTTTAGGGTTTCGGGAGAGGCGGTTTTGAGATGGGAGCCAGAAATTGAGATTACATAGGGGTTTGGGGTTTTGGGGTTTAGGGTTTAGGGTTGAGGGTTTAGGTAGGATTTAGGGTTCAGAGGTTCAGGGTATTAGGAGTTTGGGGCTGAGTCTGCCCATGCCTGTAACGGTAAAGCATATTCGGGAAGCCGGGCACTGATCCTCTGTACCTTGTGTTCCAACTTTGTGTGGTCCACTATATACTTTTGCAACACATCTCATCAAGATCGCACAGCTTGTTATAATACTAGTCATACGAGCATATAGAATGCACGAAAACCCAAAGCGCTGTTTTTGTCTGGTATGCCGTTTCGAAATGGGAATTTAGTTTAGGATTGGGAGTTCGTAGGGCTAGGAGTTGTCGTTTTGGAGGGGTGGGGGCTAGTCTTTGCTTGGTTAACGGAGTTAGGCGTCAGATTTCGCAGGTGTTGGCCTCGTCTATTCTGACTTAGGGTTTAGGATTTAGGGTTTAGGGCTTTAGGGTTTTAGCGGTTTAAGGTTTAGGGTTTAGGTTGAGTGGTTTCGGGTCTAGGGGTTTAGGGTTTAGGGGTTGGGCTTTAGTTGTTGACCTAGGGTTCCGTGGTCCAGGACTAGATATTTGCTCGACGTATGATTTCTGTGACCGAGCTTCGTGAGGACGCCAGAAGAAGGGGGTTTACAGGTTAAAAGTTTCCGAAATCCCAGAGCGCCAGAAAAAGGAGCAGCAGACCCAAACAAGTCCTAAACCCCAAACCCCAAACCCCAAAGCCCTAAACTTTAAACCCTAAAACCCTAAACCCTATCAACCCCTACACCCTAACACCTAAACCCTATAAACCCTATAAACCCTATAAAACCTATAAACCCTATAAACCCTACAGACCCTGGACCCCGAACGCCCTGAACCCAACCCCCCCCAATCCCACACCCCCTTGCCGTTTTCAGGAGCTACTGGGAGGTTCATGGGAAGTTTGAAGTGGGGTTATCTGTCTTCCAAATAGGGGTCATAGTTGCCCTAAACCCCACTTAGTTTCTCTACCCCTAAACCTTAAACCCTCCAAGTATATATAGAAACCTCAAGAAGGAGCCCTAAAATGGTGGGTCTTTCCGGCTACAGGTAAGCCCTAAACCCAAACCCCTCTAAGCCTAAGCCCTAGACCCTTAAACCCGAAACCCTCAACCCTAAACTTTTAAAGCCCTAAACCCTAAACCCTGAACCCTAAACCCGAAACCCTAAACCCCGAAACCGTAAACCCTAAACCCTAAACCCTAAACCCTAAACCGCCCGCCTGCTGGTCCAGGGAGGAGTCGTTATGCGGCTACAGCCGCATCCTGATGTGGAATGCTGGAGCCTCCGAGAAGATTGGGGTTTAGGGTTTAGGATTTAGGATTTAGGGCTTAGTATTTAAGATTTAGGATTTAGGGCTTAGTATTTAGGCGGTTTAGGGTTTAGGGTTTAGGGATTTAGGGCTTAGGGTTTAGGGTTTAGGATTTAGGGTTTAGAGCTTAGTATTTAGGATTTAGGGCCTAAGCCCTAAACCCAAAGCCGCTGACCTAAGCAACTGTAGGTGTAGAGCCCGGACAAACCCTAAACCCAAACTCCCGATCTGAGTTGGGCTTCTTAGGGTTTAGGGTTTAGGGTTTAGAGTTTAGGGTTTAGGGTTTAGGGTTTAGGGTTTAGAGTTTAGGGTTCAGGGTTTAGGGCTTCAAGGTTTTTGTTTGAGGGTTGTGCACGAGTTCTACAGCAGGTCCTTTGAGGGGTTCGGCGACACAGGACTTAGGGGCTGTGGGGTTTCGAAGTAGTAGGACTTTGAGACTTTACGGTTAGAACCTTGGGAGTTTAGGCTTTGAGGTTCTTCTGCTTGGGCACCACAAAAAGTAAAGGTGGAGTTTGGGCGACCGTTTGGGGGGACCCTAATTGGGGTTTAGGGTTTCGGGTTTAGGCTTTGGGGTTTTGGGTTTAGGGTTTAGAGTTTAGTGCTTCAGGGTTTAGGGATTAAATAGCGGTTTTCCTTGTTGTAACCGTACTCAACTAGTTACTTGCGAAGTCCCCTACCCTGCGAGCAGCTACCAGGACCGGTGATCACCTTCCCATCGCCTATATCGCCATCATCGGACTTACCGTCTGGTGCGACCTGGTCTGAGCTGTCCGATGAATCCCCAAACCCCCAAACCCCTATATAAACCCTAAACCATAAACCGTGGGTGTAGACTCCTAGCCTACACCTGTCGTGTTCGCATTCAGGGCTCGAGGAACGCCGGCCATCATGCGGCTGGGTTTTTGTTAGGGGATTTACTTTAAGTTGCCATAAGAGGGATTTATAGTAAATAATATGGTCTCTTTATTCTGGTAACTAAATTATTCTGCTAACAAAATTAAATCACTTAGCAAGAACCCAAGCCTAAACCCCAAATCCTACACCCTAAACCCTAAAAAACAAGAACCCAACCCTAAACCCTAAACCCCTTAACAAGAACCCAGGCTGAGGTGAAAATCAAGAATCGTGAGACCTAAGCCCACGCAGTTCTGAAGGACCCCGAAGCTTGCAACCTCAGATCCGCCACCAACGAAACTTATCGAGTTTAGTATAGAAGCCAAAATAATTACCTACAGTATTTTGGTGGGGTTCCCTATTATAGCTATAGTATAATATACCCCTAAAACCCTGTTCTAAATTATTAAGGCCCCTACACTCAATCCTAAACCCCCATCCCCGAAACCCTAATCTCCAAACCCTAAACCCTAAACCCTAAACCCTATTCTGATTATTCAAACCCCTACATTACACCCCACAGACTGAACAGCAAGGAGTAAGGCCTCAGCAGACCAAAGCGCAAAGCTTCTCGCTCAGCTCGGTGAGTGGCCGAAGTGTAGTACTTGGAGGCCCTTTTGACTTAGTAAGTAGGGTTAGTAAGGTGGGTTATGGGGATTATAAGAGGGTTTCTAGGGGATACTAAGTAGACTTACTAAGTCAAAGGGGCCTCCAAGTATACTGCGCATCGATCTATCTATCCATCCAGCCATCCACCCAGCTACCTATCTATCGTTTTCTGTTTTTTTCGTTTTCTTATGGTATATGTCTATCTATCTGTGTGCTTCCTTTGAACCATCTATCCATCTATCTATCTATCTATCCATCCATCTACCTATCGATCTATCTATCTATCTATCTATCTATCTATCTGCCTATCAATCTATCTATCTAAGTCTATCTAAGTCTCTCTAAGTCTATATCTATCTATCTATCTATCTATCTATCTATCTATCTATCTATCTGTGTGTCTGTCCATCAATCTCTCTCTGTCTCTCTTTCTCTCTCTCTCTCTCTCTGTCTGAAACGACAACCATGTATGAACTACAGGGGAGCAAACATCGAGTTCTCGGACCGCTATATAGACCTAAAGGTATAGGATCCCGTACATCCTTTATAGTAAACCCTTATAGTCCCTTATCGTAACCTTTTGTATAACAAACCCCCAACCCCAATTACAAGCCTGAACCCCAAATCCTAAACCCCTTCACCCTCAACCTGATCACTGAACCCTGAACCCTAGACCAAACCCTCGACCGCAAAAGCCTGAAGTCTGAGATCAAAGGCATCGGCATCCCGCTGCTGCTTTACTTGGCGATTTGGCGGCTGCAAGATCGGAACACCCAGGAAAATTTCAGGACAGCCAACCCGAAAGCCTAAAAAACCCTAAACCCTAAACCTTAAACCTTAAACCCTAGACCCTAAACCTTTGAACCCTACACCCATGGAACACCCACGAAAACTACAGCACAGCCATGACGGCACCTCTCGCAGCTCTGTGCCGTAAGACTCAAAAACGCCTTATGTAAGGAATAGCAACCCCTTTTGTATGGGATATGTATATATATATATAAGGAATATATACTCGAAGCTATTGGGGTCCTTAGTATGACAAGGGATGTATGCTCCTCAACAGTATTTAGGTTTTTTTTAGGGCTCCCTACAGCCTTCGTACCTTAAACCCCAAGCCCCCTTAACCCAACACCCACGACTTCGGATTTGGGGTTCCGGGGCAACTTGGGGGGTGTGCACCTATTGCTACTATAGGGGCCTTAATAACCAGAATAGGGTTTTGGGGGTCGATTATACTATAAATATAAAAAAGGAACTCCTAAAATAGTACAGGTGATTGTTTGAGCCCCTGCATTACAATGTTTTTCTGCTACGTCTGTTTTTGGGGGTTTGGGGCTTCCATGTGTCCGGACCGTTCCCCAGACCGACCAACGAGCCAGTATCCATCGTCCAGCCATGAAGATTGCGTCGGAAGCTCGCGGCCAGTGACAGTAGCTCCGCAGCCGAACCCCTGAATCCACCCCCCAAGAACTAAAATGGTGGTTTCTCCGAATTCAGGAGAGTCCCTTGATTTTTTGGAGTTCCTCAGAGCAGTTCTACTGCTTGCGCTATCGCTTGTTTTCTCAACCTCCCAATGGTGCCGAGATTCTCCCAGACCCACGAACCCCACACCCTAAAACCCTAAAGCTCTAACAGCCCTGAACCCTAAACCCCAAGCCCCTAATCCTGCACCTCTAACCCTAAACCCTAAACCCTAAACCCTAACCCCAGAATCCCAAGACAGGACTTACGGTTACTTCATCGATGGCTTCGAGCCCGCGTACTGGTGGTGGGACATCCTGATCAAGCGCGGAGACGTTGCTATCATGCCTCTGTGCTGCAGCTTAACCCGAAACCCCTAAACCTCTAAACCCCTAAACCCTTAAGCCCCGAAACTCCCAAACCCCTAAACTCTAAACCCCCAAACCACTAAACCATCTAAACCACTAAACCCCTAAACCCCTAAACCCTAAACGAGTCTAGGGATCTCCGGGGTTTCGGAAGGGTGCTGGAGTGCGGGGTTGATGTTTAAGGTTTAGGGTTAAGGGTTTGGGGTTTAGGGCTTAGGGTTTAATTAGGGGGTTTAGGGTTAAGGGTTTAGGATTTGGGGTTTAGGGTCTAGGGTTTAGGGGGTTTAGGGTTTAGGGGGTTTAGGGTTTAGGGTTCCAGCGATTCCCATCTCTCAGCTTATTGGCCCAAAGACCAGACTTTACTTGGAGGGTCATGGGACTCAGTAAACTCCTAGCGTTTGGGGCTTAGGGTCTAGGGCTTAGGGCTTAGGGTCGTGGGTTTAGGGTTTACTTGGAGGGTCATGGGACTTCTAGTAATAACTACAAATACCCTACTTGGGTTTTCAGTAAGTATAAGCGTAAACCCTAAACCCTAAACCCTAAACCCTAGCCCCTAGTTGTCGCCCTAGCTCGAGATATCCTTTCTACCGCCCTCGACCCTTCGGACCCTGTAAGGTGGCCGTTTAAAGAACCCTGCCTTAAGAACCCAAAACCCATTGTCTTGTAGGTTCTTATTATAAACCCTAATATGGGATTTATAGGGACTCTACAAAAAAGTAGGTTTTGGGTTCTTAAGGTAAGTTACTACGTCCCATGATCTCTGAAAAACGCCAAACCCCACCTAGTTTCCTTTTAGAGGCCCCTATAGATCCCTTTCAAGGAGCCCTTCAAACCCTAAACCCCAAACTTCAACCCGTAAACCCTAAACCCTACACCCTGCACCATACACCCTAAACCCTAAACCCTAAACCCTAAACCTTACACCCTCAACCCTTAAAGGGGTCCTTGAAGCACCGAGGCATGGGGGCCGATTTTGAGCCTCAGTGTGCGTAGTTCTGAACGTGGGATTTTCGGGACGGAGGGCTTCTAGAGAGGGGGGTTTGGGGGATTTTAGGGTATGGGGTTTCGGGGTTTGGGGGTTCAGGGTTTAGGGGGTTTTTGGGTTTAGGGTTTACGGGTTTAGGGTTTAGGTGCTTCTAGAAGATGGGCATACTGTTAGAGTAACTATACTGTATGGGGTTTCGAGGTTTAGGGGGTTCAGGGTTTTCAAGCCCCTTAAACCCTAAACCCTTCTAGAACCCCAAGCCATGTCCTTCTAAGGATGCTGGTCACCTACACTTCCGTCGCCGATGATGAGAAGGCGTAGCCTGGCAAAGCAGAGGAGGATTTAGGGTTTAGGGTTTAGGGTTTGGTCTGCTAGTCTTTATAGCCACAATTTAGGTACACAGCCTCATGTTTGTTCAGTTGCGGTTTGAGGGTCACAAGCACTTCAAGCCAGTTTGGAAGGACTTCTTTGTGTCGCAGGGCCACTAGTCTTCATAGCCTTAGTTACAAAAGCCCCATGATCCTCCAAGTAGGGCTCATGGGAGTTAGTAGCTGTTCATGGGACAGCTTCGGGATGCAATTGACGGTTTGCTTTCGTTCAAGGCCCATGAAGTCTTGTCTCTGAATGGCATTGAAAGATGATGGGGCTAGTGCTTGTCTTGGAGGAGAATACCGGGCTTCTTCGGAATCTGACTGAGCATTGGTTTTGGTCTGAGTTTTTGTTTCCGGGAATGTTGACACAGCCTACGTGAATAATAGATGTACAGAGAGAAGAGCAGAGGTGATACGACCATTTGATATACATGGATGCCATGAGATATCTTTGGCATACTGTGTAAAGCGTAAAGATATGCAATATGTACTGCATGGTATGGCGGAAGTACACTTTACGTCTTCTGGCTGAAGCAACCACTATATGCCGCAGTCATATGAAAGCAGACTATATAGCATCCTCTTCGAGTCACTAGAAACAAGCCTTCAAAGCTGATGGAACCCGGTTTACACCCTGAGCAACCCTAAAAACAACCCATAATACGCACCCTAAAATCTAGACCCTAAACCCTAAACCCTAAACCCTAAACCCTAAACCCTAAACCCTAAACCCTAAACCCTAAACCCTCAAGCCAAGGAAGCTGCTGATCTATCCGTTCATCTCGGGGGGGCATCTGGCGATTACGGCCTGGTGCCGGCCTTTCCTCAACAACCAGGCGCCCCCAAAATGGTAGGGTTGAGGGTTTAGGGTTGGGGGTTTAGGGTTCAGGGTTGGGGCTTGAGGGTTTAGGGTTTAGGGTTTGGGGTTTAGGGTTTAGGGTTTAGGGTTGAGGGTTTGGGGTTTAGGATTGAGAAATGAGGCTTGAGGGTCTAGGGTTTAAGGTTGAGAGTCTAGGGTTTAGGGTTGAGAGTTTAGGGTTTAGGGTTGAGAGTTTAGGGTTTAGGTTTGAGAGTTTAGGGTTCAGGGTAAAGACTTGCGAGTTGAGAGTGCAAGGTTCTGCTTTTTTCGGGATAGGGCTGAGAAATTTCGTGGGAGGGCTTAGAAGTTTAGGTTCGGTACTGCCGCCTTTCAGTAATGCTAGGCCCTTTTTGGTAGCTCTATTACAGACTGCTACTGTATGGGGGCGGTACCCAAAGTTTAGGGTTTATGGCTGAGGTTTATTGAGAACGGCGCATACCTGGTGGGCATGCTCAGACACCCTGCTTGGACAATGGTCATCCATGGGACTTCGTAAGTAGGGTTATAAGTACTTAAGAGCTAGGTTCCCTAGTAGTAGTTAGTAGTACCCTATTGCCCTTTTTGTTTTTGGGGTCCCTGATTAAACCAATAGAGTAGGAAAAAGGGTGCCCTTATTGTTAGAGGTCTACTGGGGAACCTAGTAAGCACTTAAGTTACCCGAAGACTTGCCCTAGTTACCAAGTTCCCTGATTCCTTATGTAAACACTGCACACCTAAATCCCGAGGCCCGAAGATCAAACGCTTTACCCGAACCCCTGAAACTTCGACTGGCAAACATTTTTCCTTGAGGGCGGAATCAACCAGGACAGGGTTAAGGGTTCATGCACCATATAGGACTTCATAGTATAAGGGTATTGCGCCCCTACTGATCAGGGTCATGTGGTTCCCAAGGTTCAACACAGGGCAAAGAACTAAAGCCTAACCGCGAGTTATGGATCCTCGGGTGGCGGGCCCTGCTACCCCTAATCCCTAAAACCTGCATGTGTGTGTGTGTCCCTAAACCCCTAAACCCTAAGCCAACCTGGCAGGCAGAGATTCTCGACTTCCTTGAGTACATCCTCTCGAGACGCTTGGCCATCTGAATCTACTTGGAGGTTCATGAGATTCAGTAAGTAAGGCTATAAGTACCCTAAATGGTGTGATTCAGTAGGTACGGCTGTAAGTACCCTAAATGGGCTTAGAAGCGCAAGTATAAATACAGCTACTTTGTTTGTGAGCCTAGTTCGTATGTCTATGTCGCATGATCCTTTTAGCAATGGGGGCCGAATGTTCGGAGCAGGCCTTCTGGGCATACCGCAGTATAACTATAACCCTAAACCCTAAACCCTAAACCCTAAACCCTAAACCCTAAACCCTAAACCCTAAACCCTAAACCCTAAACCCCTAAGCCCTAAAACCTAAACCCCAACTATGTAGTCTTGGCAGGGGCAAAGGGGATGTTGTTACTACGTACTCAGACCCTATGCTAGGGCTTAAGGACTTCCCTAAGCTGTGTAGCCGTAGGGTTTAGGGTTTAGAGTTCAGGGTTTAGGCTTTAAGGTGTATGCCCTGAAACCCAATTCAAGGTCCCTATTTTCAGGTTTAGGGTTTGGCAGGGTCTAGGGTTCAAAGTGAGTAGCAGGAAGACTCCATAGCCTTCCTCTTTGGGTCTTTGGGGATGGGGAGGCGTCATAACCTCACAACTCATGAGGTTTAGGGTTTACGGATACCTGAACCAGTATTGACTTCGGTCCACTGGTTTTTCTATGTGAGCGGTTGTGGTGTTGTGTAGAGTCCACGCCTTCAGGGTGCAGGGTTTGAAGTTCCTAACTTTAAACCCTAAACCCTAAACCCAGTTTGAATCCAAGAGCCTATACCAACTTCCGACCCTCTTTCATAGAAGAGACTCGCAAGACTACGGGAGCCAGTCGCAATAGTACCGACTCGTCGTCGCCCAAAACGTATAGCATAACGCAACCCAACATCCTATTCTGATCATGAAGGCCCCTGTTATCACGTGCAAAGCGACCAGCAAGGAGAACCCCAGTCATGGTTTAGGGTTTACGGTTTAGGGTTTAGGGGTTAGGGTTTAGAATATCAATACTTGTCTCATTATTCAGACCGTCTTGTAGTTCCGTCTAAGAAGGTCTTAGCATTGCTTCAAACAGGCTCTGTTGTTCAGGAATGGCTAGTATAGAACCCTAAACCCAAACCCTAAACCCTTTAGAGTTCGGAGTAGAAGACTATGTCATGGATTCTACTAGGACTCCTTTGAGTTCCTTAAAGTCGAATAGGGTTTAGGGTTTAGGGTGTAGGGTTTAGGGTAATGTGCCCCCAAACCTCCATGCAATATTAGGCTGCCGAGTTGCAGACTCCCCCGCGTGCAAGCTTCCGGACACCCCCTCCTAAACCCCTAAGCCTCTAAACCCTAAACCCCTAAACTATAAACCCTAAACGCTTAAATCTAGGACATTTTCAGGTGGGTAGTTACCGTTATAGGAGCCTTATAGAAGGTCTATATACCTTATGGAAGCCTTATAGAAGCCCTATATACCCTAAGCTCCCCACCTGTAGTTTCCTTTAAGTAAACCCCAAACCCCAAGCCCCAAACCCTAACCCCTAACCCCTAAACCTCTAAACCCCTCAACCTCAAGAGCTTCTAGCAGGAATCACATGAAACTCAGCTGAAGAAGAGAACAGGATGAATCTGCACACCCGGACAGGGTTTGGGGTTAAGGGTTTGGGACAATCCGGTCGGTAATGAAGCCTTGATTTTGCTAGGTTTCAGAGGTTTAGGGGTTTAGGGTCTAG